TTTGTAAATAGGATCACAAGTCCGCATCTTGTACAGCAATTAACCACTAAGAAGAATATATGCAGTGTATTATTTGTTGAAACTGTACTTGTGATTTGAAACTGTCTCATTGCTATATGTTTATCAATAAAACTTTGAAAAAAAAATAACCTTCCATCTTAATATAGCCCATTGGAGCCAAACTGCAACATGGGTCACAGTTTCAGTTTTCATTAAATTTGAAAAAAAGATCTAGACTTCTAGAAAAGTTACAAAGAAGTACAGAACTCTCTTACATCCTCTAGTATGCTTCCTCTAAAGTCAACCTCATTTACAACTTTGTACATTTGTAAAAACAAAACAATACTAGTGTAGGCTTTATGTGGATATCTGGGGGAAACATGCTATCCACATGATTTATTCCTTACTGGTGAAGCTAATCACTGGATCACGTATCCGCAGTTTCCCACTGTACACTATCGTTCTCTTTCCCTACTCTACTTGTTAGAAACAAGTGTTAATTCTTGCCTGCATATAAGTAAAGGTGAATCAAACTCCATCTTCTGGAGGGACATCAAAGAATTCATGGATAAATGTTAAACCACCACAGTAACAATTTTGGTGAGATACTTGGAAGTGATACAAATATTTTGTTCTTTACGTTTTCCTTACTGCTAGTGTTTACCCATGGACTTCACCTGCATAATTATTACTGTGGGGTTCTAATGGTGATTTTCTATTGCCACTTATCCTCTCTATAGTATTTTAAATTCTTCTATAAGGAAATCTTATCCCTCACATTTATTTATATCAATAATGGATACTTGTTTTATTTCTTGAGTTAAAATTCAATATTCCTTTATTTTACTTATTTTCTTGTTCAAATTGTTCCAGTTTTAGTCATTGGCTTCTTCATGTTTGCTCCTATATTCTTTTGCTGTACTCAACTTTTTTCTTTTAGAAAATATAAAATCCCAAACATGCTTCCTTAATTTCTGATACAAGATGCTCTAGGGTGGGCTGGGGAGATAGCTCAGTGGCATAAGCGCCTACCTGGCAAGTGCAAAATTATGAGTTTGATCCCTGGTACCGCAAGCAAAAAATAAACAAAAAGATATTCTAAGGTTTTGTGGGCTTTTGAATGCTGTAGACCCCAGAATCTGGCATTTCTCCATGAACATTATAGGTCAAGTTTTGAAGTCTGTGGGCAAAACCAGAAACTGCTGAGTCAGAACCATATTTGATAAACCTCTTCAGTTATCCTTAAAATGCCATAGATGATTTTTATATATTCTGTATTATCTTTATGAATTCTATCATCTCTTCCAAGATGGGAAGAAAAACTGGCTGGCTGTTTCTTCAGGTGAATGCAGGATAAAACACTGCTTTATATTTAGCATTAGGCATATAGAAAATACACTGTGGTTTTTTTAGTCAAAGAACTTATAATTGAATTGTTCAACAAAACCTTCAAAGCGATGGTACAATATCTTAAATCTAGTTCATTATTTGGGAAATGTTTAAGTTGAAATGGTTTTGAGAAGAATTAGAAAGCTGGACAACAGTTTATTCCAAACAATTGACTTTGGCATTAAAAGTAGGGAACATGGGGCTGGTGAGATGGCTCAGTGGTCTAAAGCACCTACTTAGAACAAGCTTAGCAAAGCACAGGGACCGCGGTTCAATCCCCCAGCACCACATGCCAGCCAGCCCTGCTCCCTGCTGGGCTGAGCTGGCCACACACACACACACACACACACACACACACACACACACACAAATAAATAAAATTAAAAAAAAAAATTAAAAAAAAGTAGGGAACAGGATTCAGCAGTTCCTCAGCAATACAGACTGCCGGAAACAGCGTCTCTCATTGGTTCATCACAGCCAGAGGCCACATTTTACGTGGAGAAAAAGCATGCACGAGGAACACTAGAGCCTGGACGGAAGCCAAATGTGGGCTGAACACAAAGGCTGCAACAGTAGAAGAATGCTGTGGGCCAGCAAATGGGGGAAGCTTGTTTGCTGAGGTACGCTGATGACTGGTCATTTTAATTTGATTTAGATTTGGTGTGTTTCTCACTATTATTCTACTGTATGCTTTGCTTTGTAGGTGTAGGAAAAACATACTTCCCCAACTGGTTTCTCCTAGCTAAAAAGAAGCTCTCTGAGGGGAAGAATCCTAAGTTTGTCTGATACATAATTGACATCCAAATGATTGTTGAATAATGTTCTAAAAGATACATATTATTTTCCAGCCTGATTTTGTATCATCATATTATTTGATTGGTATATTCACTTGGTAAAATAAGAAAGAGTGGCAATAGGGCCAGCCAAATAGCTCAGCAGATTATAGCGCCTGCTTAGGCAGATGCAGGGGCCAGGGGCTCGATCCCCTGGCGTGCTAAGATGGTCATTGAGACTGGGTGTGGTGGCGCATGCCTGTAATCCCAGTTCTTGGGAAGCTGTAAACAGGAGGATCACTACCAATCCGAGCTATACAGGGAGACCCTGTATACCCCATACATCCTGTCCTAAATACAAAAAAAAAAAAAGGGTGGCAAGACACATATTTACAGATTAGAAGTAGAAATTTGCTTACATTTGGTTTTGAAGGAAATGTGCTGATAGAGCGTTCTCCAAAGGTCCTGGTTCCTACTGGCTTATTTTTAGGCTGTGGTAATCTAAAGAAAGATTTGTAAAATTATAAACATTAAAGTATATTAAATAAATGCTATTACTTGTTAGAAAAATTGCATATTTATCCTATTTAATAAATTGATAAGTTTTATAGAGATTCTTCTACAATAGTTCTGGCAAAACAGTACAAATTAACTATGTAAGTTAAAAATTAGGAAAATAAAAAATAAATATAAGTTGACATATTTACTTAAATGAGGGCAGAAAATATTTGTTATGCTCAGTTTCCAGCATCAGAAACAAAAATATTAGCATTAGAATGCCGCGCGCTGTTTTCTTTCCTAGCACCTAGCCGAGATGTGGAGCTCCCCTCTGCAAGTAGGACCTTCTTTTATGCTGTATCTATACTTCACGCTGACATTTTCCCTTTGAGGGTTTAAAGTAGTAACAGTGACTTACTAGGGCTAACCTACTCTACCTGGGGATATGTAACGTCCCTCCCCTTTTTTTTTTTTTTATTTATTTGAGAGAGAGAGAGAGAGAGAGAGAGAGAGGTGTGTGTGTGTGTGTGTGTGTGGCCAGCTCAGCCCACCAGGGGGCGGGGCTGGCTGGCATGTGGTGCTGGGGGATTGAACTG